TTTATTACGGTTGGTCTGTTGCAGTTTTGCCCTTTTTTTCCTAGGATAAAACCCTCATTCCCAAGGTGGTGTCTTTTCTCCTCAAGTATGGCCTTCTAAGATGTCACAGTTGAAAGCCTGGAATGTTCACCAAGGCTTCTGTACCTCAGCAGAGTTAAAACTCTAACTTCTATTTACGCAGCATGGATGGGGTTTCTGTAATCTCTGTTCAGTTTATTACTCTCTCAGCTGTTGTTTTTCCTCTGGGGTTGTTGGAATCTCACCCTGTGCATGCACAGCTTAGTAGTTGGCCAACAACTTAAGAGAAATTTGTTCACAGACCTTTGGCTCTTTCTCTGTGTGTTCCTTTTCTCTAGTATTCTGGCCCTTAACTCCCAGCCACTTTGGGAGCTCTGAATTCCTACCTGTGTATCCTTAGCTGAATCTGTTTGCTGCTTTCTGTGGAGGCTGTATTCCTCTGAGCCATGATTTGGACAATAAATATACTTGGAGAAAAATCAGCTGGAACTCCACTGTGTCCTTCCCTTTTTTCAAGTATTCCCAAAGCCAAATAAATACACTTCCATTGACATGATCCCGACTCATAGCAGCCCTACAGGACAGAGTAGAACCGACCCACAGGGTTTCCAAGGCTGTAAATCTTTACAGAAGCAGACTTCCTCATCTTTCTCCCATGGAGCAGCTGGTGGGTTTGAACTGCCATTCTTTTGGTCAGCAGCCAAATGTTTTAACCACTGCACCACCAGAGCTCGTAGTATTATAGCCCCTTAAGGATTTCTCAAGGATTATAGCCCTTCATTTCCTATCTGCATTGGTTGCTTTCTAATCCCTTCCAAAAGATGCTTTATATATTTTATCTAGCTTTTACAGGTTGTTTCCCCCAGTGGAAAAACAGACTCTTAGTCATGGTTGAAATCAGGAGTCTCCCAAACTACGTGTGTGGGGCCTATAGGGTCCTATTTAATGTGACCCCTGGCTAGTTTTCTAACCCCTCTTCCCTCATTTCAGTTCAACCATACAGGTCTTTATTTTTAATGTTCAACATGCCAAGCTTATTCCCACTTCAGGGCCTTGAACTTGTTGTTAATCTCTGCCTGGAACACTTTGGGTCCAGTTCTTTACGTGTGTCATCTTTATGCCAGTTGGCTCTTAGCTCATTTATCACCCAGAGATCCTTTTCCTAGCTGTCTTTACAGTAAAGCGCCTTCCCACTCCAATCACAACCACGTCTTTTATTTTTTTTAATAACATTTAACACCATCTGAAATTATGTTGCTCTTTTTTTTTATTATTTATCTCTTAATACGTTACATCTGGAACAATACCTCACAAAACCAAACTCAACTGCTGCCAAGTCAATTCCGACTCAGTGACACCTCCTTGGGTTTCCAAGGCAATAAAGTGGACTGCCCAGTCTTTCTTCAGAGGGGTGGTTGGTGGGTTTGAACAGTCAAATGCCTTAGGTACTACGCTACCCTGTTGTTGTTATGTGCCATCAAGTCGGACCCGACTTATAGTGACCCCTCCTTGGGTTTCTGAGGCGGTATCACTATGGAGTAGATTGCCCAACCTTCCTTCTGAGGAGTGGCTGGTGGGTTTGAACCGCCAGCCTTCTGGTTAACAGTCAAGTGCCTTAGGCACTATGCTACCAGAGCTCCCTTAGCATACTTTTAAAACAAAAAACTTTTCATCCGATGCCTGTTGAATGAATGAATTAGGAAAGTGATTATTAGAGTACAATAAAGGGTAAAATGAATTCCTGCTTTGTGATGTTGTTATGTGCCGTCGAATCAGACCCGACTTAGAGTAACCCCTCCTTGAGTTTCTGAGGCAGTATCACTACAGAAGTAAATTCCCCAATCTTCCTTCCGAGGAATAGCTGGTGGGTTTGAACCACCAGGCCTCTGGTTAGCAGTCAAGTGCCTTAGGCACTATGCTACCAGGGCTCCCCTGCTTTGTGACAGAGATAGTGTATTTTATACTGAAAAGTCAATGAGGCCAGGAGGCCTGGGATAAGTCAACCATCTTCCCACTGGCTTGGGCCTTGTGTGAGGTGCGGATTTGTCTGATACAGCCTGAGCTGGCCAGCTTCCCAGATCTCTTTTGGGTTCTTCTTGGTCACTGTGATTTCAAGATAGGCACATATATTCCTCCTTATCTCCAGAGGCGATCTGTGGCTGGGCATATCATTTCCTCAGTGCAGATCAAGAAAGGCAACCACTCTTTGAGCAGATTGCCAATTTCTAGCCTAATTGGTTTAGAACAATTTCCCACATGTTGGGGGCAGTTCTACTCTACCCTTTAGAGTCCCAATGAGTTGGAATCGACTCAATGGCAGTGGATTTGTTTTTGGCACACACCAAGACCCTCAGCATTGGAAGTTAATGCCCCTAGTGACTTTTTTCAAGGACTTTTACTTCTGTATAGATACCTCCTTGGAAACCCAAGGAGGGGTCGCTGTGAGTCGAATCTACTCCATGGTAGTGAGTTTGGGTTCATTTGTTTTTGGTATAGCCTGCCTGACTGAAACCTATGTCATGTATCTGCTGATGAACATAGACATTTATTTAGTCTATGCTGTCAGGTAAAAGGTGTGACAGTCGGCTTCCGTAAAGATTATAAGCCTGATAACCCGATGGACGAGTTCTACCCTGCCTTACTCAACACTCAAGGTTGGTGTAGCAGCCTCCAAATTATTTTATGGCAGTAAGCCTGGGTGACTGATAGTGCTGATGCCAACATGTCCTCATTCTCATGCCCTCTGCCACAGTGGGCAGGTTGTACCCCCAGAATATTCTCATTTTAGGGTCCCTGAAACCCCATTAGACCTCAGGTTCTAGTTATGTCTGGTCTGGCCTTGACTGCTCATTTGTGGGTCAGGAGAGCAGAAGCTGCATCTTTGAACATGGATAACCGGTAGGGATCACGTGTCCCAAACTATCTTCAGTACAGCCTGAGTTCCATGTGGGAACTTGCTACATTGGCATAGTGGGATTAAGTGTTCCAAGGACAATGAGAAGACCCAGGAATTCTGGTCCCAGGCAGTCTTCTAGCTGGCAGAAATTTAACTGCTTTGCAGAACTATTCACATAGCTGCACCTTGCCTGTTGAATTAGAACCCAACCTTCCCTGCCACCCCTGCCCACCATCACGTCTATTTTGACTCATAGCAACCCTTAGGACAGAATTGCCCTCAGAGTTTTCGAGGCTATAAATCTTTACAGAAGCTGTGCTTCGTCCTTTTCCCACAGACGGGTTAGTGAGACGGGTTAGCTGAGCTTTCAGTTAGCAGCAGAGTGCTTAACCACTGTGCCACCAGGGCTCCTTGACCCAACCCAGCTCAAATGACATTGGATGTGAAGACACAGTGGGAAGATGTCATCTGTCCTAAGAAGCCTGGTCACTAGTGTGAGGTGAAAACAACCAATCCCTGTGAATCCACCCACTGCCATCAAGTTGATTCTGAGGCATAGTGACCTTATGTTGTTGTTATGTGCCGTCGAGTCGGCCCCGACTCAGCGACCCCTCCTTGGGTTTCCGAGGCAGTATCACTACGGAAGTAGGATTGCCCAACCTTAGTGACCTTACAGGACAGAGTATAACTGCCCCATAGTGTTTCCAAAGGAGCTGTGGTGGCTCAGTGCTAAGGCATTTGACTGCTAACCAGAAGTTTGGCAGTTCAAACCCAAAGGCTATTCGGTGGAAGAAACATGGGGCAATCTACTTCTGTAAAGATTTACCACCTTGGAAACCCAGTGGGGGTTGCTATGGGTCAGAATTGACTCCATGGCAGTGGATTTGGTTTTCTTTATTGTAGAGGTTCCAAGGCTGTAAATCTATACAGAAGCAGACTGCCTCATCTTTCTCCCAGGGAGCAGCTGGTTGGTTAGAACCACCGACCTTTTGTTTAGGAGGCAAAAAAGTTTTATTAATAAAACTTGCTATAAGTTTTGAATTTCCTATTACAAGCTCAAGTGGCATAGTGGTTAAGCGCTCGATGGATAACCGAATGCTAGGTTAGGTTGGCAGTTCAAACCACCCAGCGGCTCTGCGGGTGAAAGTCGGCTTCCGTAAAGATTATAAACCTGATAACCCATTGGGCGAGTTCTGCCTTGCCCTCTTGGGTCGCTATGAGTTAACGAACTCAATGGCATAGTTTGGTGTTTTTGCTTTTAATTGTGGCCCAGGGTCCCTGTATGTCGTAAACGGGATTGTGCACCACTGCTAACCTAAAGGTTGAAGAAGAAAGGTCCTGGCTATCTGCCTGCATTAAAATTACAGCCAAGAAGATCCTGTAGAGCAGTTGTACTCTAATACGTGGGGTCCCTATGAGTGGGAATTTACTTTAAGCCAACTGACAACATCGTGGGTCAGCGTCTGCACAATTGCCCTTTAAGTTAGAGGTTCTCCTTGCCTTCTTTTTCAGGCGAGTAAAGTGATGTATAGAAAAGTTATGAGACACGAAAGGATTATAACCCAGTCTTCTGAGGCCCTGGAACACGTGCCCTTAACTTTCATTCAATACTGCCTTGCTCTTTGGATAAGAAAGGCTTTCAAGGCAGCTGGAAGGAGGGAGAGAAGCGAGACTGTTTTCGTTTGTGGAATACTCCTGGTCGTGTAAAATTGACCTTACATAAAGTTGCTTTTCTGCCCCCCAAATCAATGAACCAGCAACATATTTCACCGGCCATCTTGGTTGTGGCAACCCCAATTCCTTCTTTTTTCTGTGACGGCAACCAAGGGAATTACACAAAGCTGCCCAACCCAAGCTTTTTATAGAGCACCAGCAAGTTGCCCGGTAAAGGGCCCCACTTTCCCGCCGCCGAGGTCTAGTGCGTGGGCCGTTCCAGTCAGGCCGCCTCCCTCACTCTGCCCCTAACTCCCAGGTCCGCGCCGGCGGGGGCGGGTCTTAAGCGGGCCTCGCCGGCCCACTCCCCGATGCCCCGCCTCCTTATTTAAATACGCGGCGCCGGCGGGTGCGTGGAGCTCGCCGCGGATTCAAGATGGCGGCGTGTGGACGTGTACGGAGGATGTTCCGCTTGTCGGCGGTGCTGCAGCTGCTGCTGCTCACAGCGGCCCGGGCCGAGAGACTTCAGGGCCAGGGCGGCCACAGCCAGGGCCAGGGCCCTGCGGCCAACTTTGTGTCCTTCGTGGCACAGGCTGGAGGCGGCTTGCCGGCGGGTCAGCAACTACCCCCACTGCCTCAGTCACCTCAGCTACAGCAGCCGCAGCAGCCGCCTCAGCCGCCGCAGCCGCCGTTCCCGGCGGGTGGGCCTTCGGCCCGGCGGGGCGGAGCGGGGCCCGGCGGGGCTGGTGGGGGTTGGAAGCTGGCGGAGGAAGAGTCCTGCAGGGAGGACGTGACCCGTGTGTGCCCCAAGCACACCTGGAGCAACAACCTGGCAGTGCTCGAGTGTCTGCAGGACGTAAGGGAGGTGAGGAGGCGGGTCAGGGCGGTGAGGGCCTAGCCTAGTGCAGGCCCGAGGGTGTTGCCGGCCTTGGAAGCCGCTGACGCTGGTCTGCTCTTGCTGCTTCGCTTCCTCGGTGCTGCTCTCGCTCCTTTCCTCCCTGCTCCTCACTCCCTGAAGCATTTGGGCAGGAGGACCCCACCCCACCCGGTCATTCTCTGGCTCCTTTTCCGCTCCCTGGTGCCGTGGTCTGGACCGGAGACCCCAGCTCCTGGCCTCGATTGGAGAAGGCCCTGAGCGTGTTTATGTTTGCTCCTGTCTTTTGTGTGATGCTCTAGGCAGTGGCTCCTCGCCGAAGATCTGCTTAGGATTTTGCCATTCCGTTTAGACTTGGACAGTTTGCAGTAATACGTTTACACTGTAAAATGATTGGCGTACTTGAACTGTTGAAGAATAATCGGCTGCATATTGGCAGTGGATGATGTTTGTTTAGCTAACTCGGTTCTGTTCTGATGTGCCTTGTAGTCGCCAGGAGAATTTACTCTTTATCCCATTCTTGTAATTCGCAAAGCCCTGTTTTTTACCTAGTGCTGAAACTAATGTATGCCTTTTTTTTTTTTTTTTTCCCTCCACTTCTTTTGGTCAGTTTGTGGTGAATCTCGTGTTTAAGCTACTACTCCAAGTGACTTGAAGCCCTAAAGCTTGAAAAGTTGGGGTAGCATTTGAAACTGTAACACATACCCGGTATTTGTGATTGGGCCGTGGGGGGCTTGCCTCTTTGACGCCTGAATATGATTTTAACAGTAACTCTTAGTGAAATCTAGACTTGTTGTAGTTTGTGATTCAGTTCAGTGACATTGGGAATTGTTCTCTAGATTTAATGCTGGAGATGTAAGTGGATATTTGACAATTCTCAAAATTTGGGAGCAGCGTAGATCAGATAGGAATACTTTTTCAGAAGGTGTTGTGGTTGTTAGTTGAGTGTATTTGGACTCGTGGTGACCCCACCTATTCAGAGTAGAACTGCTTCACAGGGTTTCCAAAGCTGTGACCTTTGGGAAGCAGATCACTGGCACCTGGGGTGGGTTTACCATCAACCTTTCTGCTGTGATAAACGTCGTTAGAATTAACCCCAGAGGTTGACAAGGAGAATAAAACTGTTGCTTGGTACAGTTTCATTTAGAAAATTGTGTCATCAGAATCATCTAAGATATTCAGGTCCACAGGATGACAACAGGTTTGTAGACAATTGTTACTCTTGCCATTTTTGCCCCTTTCATCCCACCAGGATAATTGCTGTAGTATTCTATTCAAAAATAAGAGGAAAAGGCACTGATGGAGATAGAGAGGAAGTTTCCAGAGCCACCAGAAATGTGGGGCCTTAGATGATTTCTCATTTATAGTTTGGGGGAGAAAAAACAGTCACTGCCATCGAGTTGTTTCCGACTCATAGCAACCCTTCCTTGGGTCTCCAAAATAGTATCTCTAAGGAAGTAGATTGTCCATTCTTCCTTCCAAGGCTAAAGAATAATCTCTTGCAGTTCTTTGTACTTCAGTTACTCCTTTAGTAGATACAACTAAAATTCTTAATTCTATCCAGCTTTTTGATATTTTCTGTTTGGTCTTTGAGGATATAGAATAGAAGGTGTTTCCTCAAAATAGGGTCATAATGTTGGTCACCAAAGACATTGGTGACTTCTAGAAGAAACAGGACATTATTAGGGAAAGTGTCAAAAAGTGGCCCATTCAAGGAATGCATGTCTCTTCCTTTGAGCTCTGTCCCATCCTAGGAGCTCTGGTGGCTTAGTGCCTAAGGCTTTTGACTGCTAACCAGAAGGCTGGCAGTTCAAACCCACCAGCCACTCATCAGAAGGAAGATTAGGCAGTCTACTTCTGTAAAGATTTGTCGTTATGTGCCGTCGCGAGGAATGGCTGGTGGGTCTGAACCACCAGCCTTCTGGTTAGCAGTCAAGTGCCTTAGGCACTAAGCTACCAGAACTCCTCCATAAAGATTTACTGTCTCAGAAACCCAGAGGGGGTTGCTATGAGTCCGGAATAGACTCAATGGCAGTGAGTTTGGTTTTGGTTTAATTTAGTGTGTAAAGAACCTGGTTTGGAAATTTTGTCCCAGCTCTGCTGTTGATTGTAGATTCCCATCAAGGGCATTAGTAACTATTTTTCTTCCTTTACGGGGGTGCTATATCTTTGAGGGTAGGTCCAAAACCCACTGCCATCCAGTCGATTCCAACTCATCATGAGCCTGTAGGACAGAACTGCCCCCATAGGGTTTGTAAGGCTGTAAATGTTTAAGGAAGTAGACTGCCTTATCTTTCTCCCCTGGAGTGGCTGGTGGGTTTGAACCGCTGACCTGGTTCACCACCAGAGCTCTTTTGA